AGTCAGCAGAAGCTGCAACTTTAGAATGCAATGGGTAAGATTAGCTACGCGCCAAACAGTTATGTAACAATTTGGAGAAACTGTGTCAGTGGAAAATAGTTGGGAATTTATGTCGGAAAATATACGTCTGTCCGCCACTCAAAACAAATACAAGTAGTTCCAAAACCAATGGAGCAGTAAGTTTTGGGGTTACAAGAAACCAACAACAGTCTGTCGGACTCTGTCCATAACATAATTCATAAACACGAAAAAACTGCTCTAACTTAGTCAAAGTACTTAGAAACGCCCCCGGCCCACCTCCCCATTCTAACTTACAAAAACAGCCGGTTGAAAATCGTGCTTGGGTGTTGGAAATGTTTTCCTTCCACAGCGTCCGATATAATATATAATTACGTTCTGGGCACGGCGAGACTGCAGCGAATAACACAGCGTATTCGCGTTTGTAGTTGACTGCCCTGGGAAAGAGACCGCATTTTCTCCGCGCAAAGCATATTGGGAAGAGCCAACCATAGTATCCTGGGGACGAGTCGATGAACGATGAAAATTTGAGTTTTGAAGGGTGAAAAAAAGTTTTGAACGATGAAAATTTGAGTTTTGAAGGGTGAAAATTTGAGTTTTGAACGATGAAAAAAAGTTTTGAACGATGAAAATTGGGTTTTGAAGGGTGAAAATTTGAGTTTTGAAGGGTGAAAAAAATTTTGAACGATGAAAATTGGGTTTTGAAGGGTGAAAATTTGAGTTTTAAAGGGTGAAAATTTGAGTTTTGAAGGGTGAAAAAAAGTTTTGAACGATGAAAATTAGGTTTTGAAGGGTGAAAAATTGAGTTTTGAAGGGTGAAAAATTAAGTTTTGAACGATGAAAATTTGAGTTTTGAAGGGTGAAAATTGGGTTTTGAAGAGTGAAAATTTGAGTTTTGAAGGGTGAAAAACTAAGTTTTGAACGATGAAAAATTGAGTTTTGAAGGGTGAAAATTGGGTTTTGAAGGGTGAAAATAGGTTTTGAACGGTGAAAACTGACCCGATGAAGCCTTGTTGAAGTTGTACCTTTGGTCTTTCGTAGCCCTGACCTCTGCCCTGCTCCGTCCGATGAACCGTGGGTGACGGGACCTCTGGTCTGATGGGGTCAGTTCCCCCTGTGCAGTACACAAACATGCACAGGTCTACAACATATATATATACCTCAACACTGCCTTCTGATTCTGAGCAGGAACATGGGGGCATCAAAGGAACCTCGTAGGTGATCGACATGGTGACAGAGATTAGGACCAACATCACTCATCACTGTTAATCGGTGGCAATAAGATTTCAAACATTCACCGACTATCAAACTATTCACAGGAGAGATAGTGTGGCTGCTGGCAACAATCTTCTGGGTGAGGATTTCATAAATGATTAACCCTCATCTGTACAGACCTGAGCTTTCCGACAAAGAAACATTTCAACCGAAGAATCTGTCGAAAATGATGTATTGAACATGACAGGGGTCCTCCCAATGTCTATAAATGTACCAATGTGTGGATTACACACCAAAACAAGAATTTTCAAGATTTGGTAATGTGTCACAGTTCATCCATAGAAAAAATAAACACAAATCTATCATCTAGCCGACGCCGTGGTTACTCCAACTGTAGCCACCATCTCTCGGAACAAAGTTCATCAGACTGCAGAGCGTTGGAGGTAACAGCAATCAAGCATTGACACGGTTGACTGGTCTACCAATTGAATATATCCTGTTCCATCATTAAACCCCGCGTAGACACGGACTGAAGGGTCCTGGAATGTTGACCCTCCGCGCTGAGGATGTCACTGAATGTGTGACAAATATCTGTGACCACACAAATTAGGTCACTGACCTCCGAAAACCAAACCTTGGCTGATCAAGCTGAACAGTACTTCATGAGGAAAATGTCATTTAATTGAAGAATTTCCATGCCTGAAGAACGGTGCGTGTGGAGGTCCAAATGCTCCACGGGTTGATGAAGAGAAAGCAGATTCAGTACCAAGGGAGCTAGCTTCACGCAAGTTCTGCCAAACCACAGTATTTTATAGCCACAGCAAAGTGATTGCCAAAGTTGATCTGGCGACCGCCCACTGCACATGAACCCACCACAGAATTCTGGATCTTAAACCACATACACATGATACAGACAGGTTTAGTTATGATCATACGAGGGAAGTTACGCTGCAGGGAGTCGCAAGACTTACCGACTGAAACTCCGCCGCACGCCCCAAAACTTCGACCGCTGCCAAGTTTGTACACGCTTGTTCGGAAGGAACCTTGCGGTCACTTTGCGGATAACGTTCCCTGTAGCCTTGAAGTGGGACAGACCTTCCTGCTGCAGCCGCGCGGCACTACCAAGTCCCGTGGACTGAGCGCGTTCGATGAGCAACAGAGGAGGCAATGCCCTTTTGTGGTGCTGGTAAGATCTGACGGTGTCTGGACACCCCGGGTCCAGTCACGTGATTAGATCGCGGCCTCAACCATGTTGTTCCCATAAAGTTTGACCTCGGCTATTCATTCTGAAGAGCTACACCGAGAACATGTTTTCAGACCTTCGTCATCACCGCATTCGTCTCTTTCAAAGAACTGTCATATATGTGGGCAGTTTGCCAAAATAATCTTAGGACCAACGATAGAGGCAGTATTGTCTCGGACCGAATGTTGCCTTTGCCATTTACACCAGATGCCGGGGCATGTTGATTGTGGGTTTTACCGTGATAATTCTCTCATGACAGATCCGATTTCTCGGGGATTGAACGGTATAGAGGTATGAGGGCAGCAACGAGAAACAGCTTCATTGATTTGATTTACGTCGCCGCTATTCCCAGCGTAACGCCCGGTAAGCCTGCATTCGTTCAGCGTCGCCGAGCCCTAATCTGATTCGACTCAAAGCATATCTTTCACACCACAGGCAGATTAAAGAATTCAGCGATTATGTCCCTTGACGAAACAATGGGATAAGTCATAATCTGTGTGCTTTTGTTGAAATTTCGTAGTGCAAGACGCTGTACTGAGAGCAATGTGGGTGCAAAGCTAAGGATTGTGATATTGGTTGGCCACTTGCCTAGATTAAATGCTCTGTACACACGCCCCGTCGCAATCTGACTCCTGTGCAGCTAATGAAACACACATTCCAGAGAGAGAAACAACCTGATTCCTCGATAGTAGCACAACTCAGGGTCAGGCAAGGGATCTGCTCAGCAAATAGGTGTCCTGCGTGGGGGGTTGGGCCTCAGCCAACTGGCTTGGACGAAAGCTGTCGTGACGGAGACTAATAAATCGAATACTAAAATTGTACGTTCGTCTCCGGACTGACGAGGAAAGTATGATCAGGTACACACGGACAATTAGGACTACGCGACCTTTACTTTACCGGAGCGTGGGGAAGAGCTTCTCCAGGCTAAATGACTAATGGTATTTTTCATATGACAGCCAGGAGAATGCGGAGTTGGACAGTGGCGCTGCCAGCTTGGCTAGCGTCCATTGAGTAATGCCAAGTACCATTTGACTTCCTATTATTTAAACTACGAGACACTGACCCAGTTAGCTGGAGACTTTGGAACTCTTCATCTGATTGCCGATCGCCATGGAAACTGCCTGACATGGTAGAGAGATCTGAAGAGTAGTCATGGCGCTTCACACATGATACTTCAACGTGGAATCATATTCTAAATAGACCTGAATTACATGATGACCTTTTCGTTCATAGAGACTGACTTGTATTCCCTGAGACATTTATCTTTAAGTCTGTTGGTCCTTTTTCAATTTCCTTGTAAATATCAGGTAATAACCCTCTCCAGGTCATGACCTGGTCAGGATTAGAGAAATGGGCTTAGAGCAGAATGCATCTTGAAGTCATTTGCAACAGCCTAGGGAAAGGCGAAGAGAAACATTTCGAGCATGATTCTCAGCCATCTCAGGAATGGTTCCTCCGCCCAGCCTTTGGGCAGGAACACCTGGGGTCGGCCTTCGCCCTTGGATGTGATGTGATGGTTAGGTATGAAACACGAGCTCACGTCTGTCAGAACGGGTAACGACTGTAACCGTGATGTTAGTCAGGTTGTCAAGCAGATTAGCACACAGGCAGTGCCGGTGATGTCAATGATGCAACTTACTTACAATTCTCGTTGCTTACTTTGATTGGGTCGATATTGTCGTGTCCTACGATAAAGATACATTGCTATAAGACTAGCAACAGCTAGCATGGCTATAAGACCAGCGATGATACCCATTCATTTGGCTCCGGTCCTTTTAGCCCAGCTACCCTGAAGCATCCTTGTACCGTCTCCATGGTGCCTGCAGGATGCTTTGTAATTAGCTGTGAAGCGGTTGAACACCGGCCAGCATCAACACATTACAGAAGTGATTGAAACAACCGTTGATTGAGAAAATCAGGCATTACTGATCGCAGGAGTCACCAATGTTAATGATACCGCCTAAATTGGTCGTCTTGTCTCCAGACTAAACAAAATGCCTTTATGTCAACTTCGTTGTCCCATGGGCCAGGGTGCCATGGGCCATGGCTATGTACTACAGGAGCGCCACCTGGCGTAATACAGGGCGTTGCATTAGCTTGTTGCGCTTCCTTACAACCGGTCAGGGGTTACTACTATGTAGGGTTTTGCTACTATATAGATGTATACTGAACAAACCGTGTGCCCTGGGTTTTCATATAAAATGTTTTACAGAAAGCCCTGCTGGACTAACAAGAGGAAACTTGGACCAAGTGAAGAAATATCCCAGACGGAAGTCTAGGGTTTTGATATATGATGTATCAGATTGACCTTCGCATGGTTTCCATGGCTTCCTCTAAAACAGGAAACCGCAGCGTATACCTATCTCGTAATTGCAAAGACATTTCAGCCCCTGTCCTTGGCGGGGTTAGATATGGTTCAGTCGCTCTGGGAATTCACACGTGCAACTGTCACTTTGACTTGCCCTTGGCTCTGTTAGTAGGTGAAGAATTACAACCCATCATTATTTGCCTTTTTCTAACCCAGGAAAGTCCTTAGACGCATGGGTAGAGATCAAAGAGAAGCAGCGAGAGGGCAAACTGCCTACTGACAGCATAGAGAAGAGATCAAAGAAAAAGAAGAAATTAAAGCTGCACTCAGTGAGAAGAGAACCCAAGCAAGAATTCTTCGATTTCCTGAACATGAAGTTAAAGAAAGGTAAGATATTGTCTTGAATTAGAAGGTGTTAGAGAATATATTGCAGCTGCCATCAACACCGAGGGCCTACGATCATAACACTTCTTTCATTATTTGTGTACCAACTAAACGTTATCTATATACATTACCTATTGAAATATGGCAATGCACGACTTGCCAATTTACATTGTTATGTTATATTGAAATCTTATAAGAAGCATGGAAATGGCATAACTGTATTGTAACTAACCGGAAGTTAGGTACACTTTACATGTCTATTCTGCATCAGATCACCGAGCTGCGGACTCTAAACACGGTACAAAAGCTGGGGACAGACAGAGGTCCGGAAAGGAACTCAACGTCAAGGTGAGACATTAGTTATTATTGTGTCGACGGTTTTGAAGATTATGCACGAGAAGTTTTGCATACATGCTATTGACCACATCGACTCTACATCCTATATGATAGCGTGAGTTTTCCTCTTTTCGACACTTGCTATTCCCCTCTGTTATTGGTTATTTCTTCTTATACAAATGGATGTCAATGACTGCAAAGCCTTACATAAGTACATCGCCCACCGTGACCAGATGCAGACAACCTTTACAACCACACCCACTTCACTACTCATGTTTTGAAGTAAGAATTACGACTTGAATGCTTCCTTTGGCCAGCGCTCAAAGTTCACATTGCTTCTTCAGAGGTGGTTCTTTCTCAAATGTAAATCAAGGCACCGACATGAGATGTCTACCGGTGCATCATAATACGTTGCACCTTGCTGAGTTTCGCGGTATATCACTATCTGGCAGGTCCTGCCCATGACAACTCCCTGTAGGACACATCCCGCCCCCTGAGCTTGATCAGCTCCTGTCTAAGCTGGGGAACTCCTCTGTGTGGTATCTCCAGACGGGCTTTGATCTCCGCTCGGATACTCGCTATCTAGACTCTCCACAAAACCCGCTTGCGTGGAAGGAGAGCTTTTGTCAGAGGTCGGGAAGAGATTGATGTACAAACGGACTTTTTACCAGGTTAAGAGATTAACCTCCAGCTAAGAGAAGCAGTTTTCTGTAAGACAATCACGCCCCTTTCACACTGATACAGTCTGGCCGGCTGGTCTACATGTGGCGTAGATTCCACCAAACATCTACATGCCAGTCTGCCGGGTAACCTGTCTGTTGAAGAAATATATCAGATATAATCAGGAGTTTTCACAGTGTTCGACGTTCCTCTACCATGGTTTCACTGTTAGGTAGCCAAAACAACTACAGCAGCTGTTGAAGTCTAATTGTGATGAAACGCTTTCGAGGCGAATCATGATATCCTGTCTTCAATCAACAGTGGACGTCTGTTCTTTAGTAGCTATACTTAGACATTACATGTTTAAATCATCCGTTATAACGGTTAAGTCATTACCAATGACAAGTGGTCAGTCAATCGTTCTACTGGATGCTGACGAAGTGGAATGGCGGTCCGGACGGTCTTGTCGTGTTAGATAGTCTATGACTAAGTCTGGCGAAAGCCTTTGTTAAGTCCAAGCCCCAAACAATTCAATCAACTCCCGGCACAATCCTCACTAAGCTCCACAGATAAATCCCACAACCAGAAACATCCCAACAAGGATTCTAAGAAGTTATATCATCTTCAGCATAACCACATGTCAGTTACAATCATGATTCTTCATGTAGTCAGTAGTGAACTTAACACAAGGAGCTGATTGCTAATTACTTTTCCGATGAAGGAGCGTTGTTCTGTATACTGGAGATGAGTACCACCTGGAAAACTCCTGGTGCAGTGAGTAACAGGTCGTACACGTAACCCTTAATAAGTCTTGATTCGGTTGAACGACAACTCGGTGTAAACAATAGCAGACAATCCTGGGAGAATGTCAGACTTTCATGAAACCGCCAATCTCCAGGCACCAGATGAATGATTTAAGGACCAAATGTGGCTGATCCACTGCGACGTACTGTGTTGGTTCTTTGTTTGGACCTGTTGGCGCTATCCACATTACCCGTGTAGGACGGCAGGAATGGGGGCAGGCGTCATGTGCGCTTTGTGTACCGGTGATGGATAAGTCTATTAATGTAGGAAAATAAGCAGTGCTGGCAGAAGACACGTAGGCTTCTGTCTAAAGATATTTTCTGTCACCACAGCCGTCTATTCACTTCATCGATCTCAAAAACGTTGACGCATTTTTCAACAACCGAGACAGTCCAGCAGACCCCTAGGGTCTAGGGTACAGCTGTATAGCGAAAACAATGAAGAAGACAAAGGCTAGTTCTCTAAGACAATATCTTTTGCAACATTATACCCAGTTATCTTATCTCTTGTTTGTCTTAATATGCCCTACAGCCTTACAGAGTTATGAATTTAATGGAGTCCCCTGGTTCATTAAGAATATGATAAAAGATTTCATTGTCGAGTAGGAGGTCTCAACTGTTTGGCCTATCTCCTCAGATTCCCAATTAATTTGCGCGACATTGTGCTGAACACTTCAGCTAAGACTAAGTGTCTGCCAAAAATGCGATTAAATCATCTGAGAGCTGTGAGCGACTTGGCACTCAGGACCATAGCCATGTTGATTTTACTGTGGGAGAGAAGACGACAGACAGGACCACTGTACGTGGAAAGCCGAGGATACAGATCTGATGAACAAGATGCAGACAAGTGGCTACATTTGGATACTTTCTAACGAAGTTCCTATTCCCCTGACGTGGACTTTCCACAAGCTCCAGATGTCATGGCTGGGAAATGTCGACCACAGGATGCCTCAACTGTCAACATAGTGCTTATATAGTCCTTAGTATATAGGGTTACATATAGGGTTATATTAAGGATTAGACTAATACACACGATGAAGTACTAGTAGTTCATATGGCTCCCAGATGGTATCCAACATCTTTCATCAACTCATGGATAGGTAGTCAGGTGATTTATGTTAAATGTCATCACAATCGTTCCGGGTGTACTCATCTTACAATTCCAAAAATTCGTTAGTGCACAGCCTCAGACCCTGGAATGAGTTACGATCACTGACTTCTATCCGGTTAATGCAAGACGATAACTGCAATAATTCACAGATACAGGAGAAGTCATTCCCTTATCTCCAAGGTCAATGTCTCTTTGCTATCTGGCCTGACCTTGAACTGTGTGTTTGCGTTGACCAAATCATCGAGGCTAAGGTGTCTGCTGTGTACGATAGGTAAATACAAAAATCAGTGAGTTACGGTTAATACGGCTGTGTTAGCAAAGATCACCTTGGTGATATCCCTCGTCTGGGATGCTGATGATTGCCACGACTGGACTACAAAGTCGCTCTGCAGTCGTAAATGTCGATGACTAGCATCTTCACCCGAGGTGATGGCATGGCAGGTAGAGCAAAACATGATGCCTTATCAGTTAATTGCTCTGCAATGCATATTGAGATAAATGCCTTCTCCAGATCTTCAAGGCAGATTCCGGCCCCATTGACAGGTCTATGATCTATCATGCTCTTCGGTTACCGCTCTTAACAATGATGTACGCCCTATCACTCAAACGCAAATGAAGACTTAGTGTTGGTGATAGCAACGGTGTGTAATACAGCGATGGCTGTAAACTTGATGAAGACTATGATAGCGCTCTTGATGTCGAAGATTAACTCAGCTAATTCAACCATAACACGATACGTTTGATCAGATCACGATGGTCGGTAACACCAATGGCACAGCTCACAACAAGGTACAGGTTTAACCTTGAGTGAATGATGATCTGTGTCCCGACAGGCCATCAAGATATATTAGCAGTAGAAAAAGATGTTGTGCCCTGAAGACTTGTACAGCCCGTTACTGTATCATCGTGATATCGCTAGTCTCTACAGTGCAAGGACTTTTGTAACCATGATTCTGCAGCCCTGGGCTACGTTCGTATATGGGAAAAGAACCAAGTGTTGTTGATGATGTTGTAGGCCAATGTAGGGTAACCAACGCGTTACAAGCTCTAGCAGCTACAGACTGCCTGCAGAGCGAACACCTGCACTGGTGGGCGATGCTTACCCTTCCACTGGCCTTTTTATCATTTCCAGCAGCCGCAAAACTAGTCTGTTTAACTACAAGAACCACCGCTGTTCATCATCTGCCTGTCATGACCACTGGCTATATCAGTGCACGTGTGTATGTGGTGCCAAAAGTCTGTTATAGGCTTACGTAGGGTGACGACTTAAGAGTCAAGGGCAAAGTGCAATGACACAACGGACTACCTTTAGGCTTTATCTTAGTTCGTGTGCAAAGCTACAGCATTGAGAGTGTGGAGACTAGAGTCAGTCAGGTGTTCGGGCAAGAACTTACAAATAAATTTATAATTTTGCTTGTTGTATCACTGTCACGATTGTTGGCACAATGACATACATTACCCGCGAATATGATGACATTAACCAAAATGGTTTCCTTCATGCGGTGCCCACCTTACGAAGTCTAGGCACGTACCACCATTGGCACTGGCCAACTTCTTGCAAGTCAAAGGAGGGGAAAATTTAACGAGAACTGGAACCTATAATCACGTAAGAATGTTTCGCATTATTGTATGGTTGTCGGTCTGCCCAATGCACAGTGGGAACGCTGTAAACCCTGTTAACCCGGTATTAGAGGGAGGGCCCACTGTCAGGCTACCGTGGGGGGGAGTCAGCTAGGGACGCAGTTTCGCGTCTTAGCGCCTTGTGATTTAGTAAAGTTATTAAACCCAATTGTGCACTCTGCACTTGGATTGCCCCATATGTTACTTAGTGTTCCTGGTGGTCCGTTGAGAACGAAGAGAAGCAGAGTCGTTGACAGAAAACGATGTTGAAACCGGTACAATTGAATCACAGCGAACTAAATATAACTCCGGTGGTGGTTTGGTACGATTTATAGCCTCTATTAGGCTTCAGAGGCGGCTGGAAAGAGTAGAAATTAGCCAAATAGAGAGATAACATGCCAGGGGAGTTCAGAGCGGCAAACTGTAGTCCTTTAGCGGACAAACACCCCTGCCATTTTATCTGTCTATTTGGCCAATGATATTTTTCTATATTTGTCACCTCTGAAGCCTGGTAGAGGCTATTGCATTCTGGCTACTGACATTTTACTGCAAGCGTGCATCCCTTATAGAGCGTGTTGAGAGACAGACACTACCTTCTACCATATTTACTACAACCCGTGATAGGATGATATCTATACACATTTGGATACAAAGTTGACTACAAGTAACGCTAGAATCCTGTGACTTATACAGTTATATAGCAGAAGCTCCCCATTTGGTATCTGATTGGCAGCTCAGTCTGCTCTCCACTAAGTCTTCGGTGCCTGTCGGACCATCCAAGCGCCATGGACACTTATGCGAGGACTTATTTTGAGGCG